CCAGTCAATTGTCTCCAACTCGAAATAATTGCATTTTATTGCAACCTTTTGCCCAATTTTGCGAACAAACTTTTCCCATAAACATTAAAATCTTTGCCGACAAGCCCGAACCATAAAGGATATTTTCTTTAAGCATAATTTTCGCTTGAATTGTGCCACAAAGTTGTTGCAGCCATTTGGCAGTTCTAGTGGAAACAACTGCCAGCAAAGTTTTACCAGCATTGCGAATCTAATGCTAATGTGCAGGATTAGCAATTGCTGTGGGGCGGCCAGGGGTAACGGGCTTTGCTTGTGCAATTACACACAAACAAGTTGAAAGGTGTTTTGGAACCTTGGCTGACAATCGGCAACTTCCGCTAAAGCCCAAGCAATATTTGAGAATTTAGAGAATTTCTTTCAGGTAACGCTTCGAAATCGGAGCCCATGTGTTCTCTCTATATTTTAAAATGTCAACCACCACCAGGCAGAAGCCAAAACGCCCCTTCTGGGTTGCCGCTGGTTCGCCTTGCCACGCTGCTTGCTTCCTTCGATCATCGTCAGCTTGTGGGCAGGCGCATTGAGGCATAGACCGAGTCGAGACCGATTCGAGTCGAGTCGGAGTCGAAGCCGAAGCCGAGTTGAAGTTCCACTTTATGTCCAGGTGTGCACTGGGCTCGTGGCTGCTGAGTTGTGGCACGTACTTGTTGTTGTTGCTTTTGTTGCCTGTCATGCGATCACGATTGCGATCATCATCATCATAATCATCAGTTGTACTGGGCTGTGCCTCGCACACACATAGGGGCCGCCTGGGGGTTGAATGAACAACCCAGCCTTCTCACTCACTCTAACTCTCTCTCTCTCTCTATCTCTAGCTTGTCTCTCCATATAACATTTTTGCTGTGATTTCTGGCAGTTACAACAGCTGGTATAAGATGCTGTCGTACTATATATACTATATCATGTTGCTAAAGATCTTATACAATTCATTAAAATCTATATCAAATAGTCATATTTGAATCAATTTGGCGATTCGTTGTCATCATTTTTGGGACCATCAAATGCTTCATAAACTTTTTAACGGATTTTAAAGTCAGTTGACCATAACGCAATTGCTTCCACATTTGTGTCCAAGTGTCGCCAGCTAGCCGAACCAGCCAGTCGGCCGGCCAGTTAGCCAGCCGGCCCAGCTTGAGCCAAAGCATATTTTAATGATGACACCCGGCCAAAATAACAACAACAACAACAAAGGCAAATGAGCAAGGAGAGGAGTGGAAGAAGAACACATGCCACACTTTGTACATTTTGTAGGTAGCAGGCGGCAGGCAGATATGATGGTTACATTACCGTGTGCCGCGATCTGTGAAGGCACATTCCAAAGCACGCTTTGAGATACATTCGCCCTGCGCACGACCCACACACACTATCAAAAATGTCTGTGTATGTGTGTGTGGGTGTGTGTACATGCAAAGTATGTAAACATTTTATAGAGCCCAACTTTGAACAGAATAACAAAAACCAAAATTTAAAACGACATTGTAAAGAAGCAGACATTTCTGGTACTCTTTAAAGGGAATTCTGCAAATAAATTTGACTTTTATTTATGTACAAAAAGTGCAATATAAGAATCAAATTAATAATACTATAGCAGTAAAATCATAACAATTTTAATTTTAATTATAAAGTGATCAACGCATATAAAATATATTAATTATATTTTAATAAATGCAATATATACATTTTAATATATTGTCAATCATTTTAAATAGGCTCTTGTTTATTTATGTCCATATAATCCAATACTTTTCATTAATATGATAAATAGAAATCAATTATTTGGCTATCATTTTTGGATACTGTTATAAAATACTAAAAGAGATTTCGAATTTCGAAATTAAAAATTTTTATTGCGAGCTTTTTCACTTCTATTCCATTTATTTAAGCCTTATTGTTTCGTAAATTCTTTAACCTTAAAATCTTAAAAAAAATTTAAACACGCACTCTTTCTGCTGTCTTGCCTGGCAAGTCCTTTAAAAAACTCTACAGCAGGGTGTCTATAGAAATGTGTTAAGGTCGTAATTATCTGCGCTGCTGTCGCTTAATGTTTGTCTGTTGTATGTAGGTGGGAAGTTCGCAGCGAAGCAACCTACTTTGATCCTTAGTGTACTATCTAAACTATGAAAGGGCCATATGGTACTTTTTGGTAGCGCTCTGAGGGTTGATAGTGCGCCCATGGATCAATAGAGCAACTGAAGACAACGTTTGCACTAGGTGCATTGAACTTTAAATAGGATACTTAGTTTTATATTTTTATTAATGGTGTGCATTTTGTGTTAATCAATATTCATTTCATTTTTGCATTTCTTACAGGAGGATCTATGATGAACGACGGAGAAAAATAATAACGCTTTGTTTGTGGTAAATATGCTGCTTAAATATATATTGACGCGTATTTCTAGAGATCTGCAGAGGTATTTCTGCTGCTCCTATCCCAAGCCCATGTTAGATCCTTGATATATACCTACATATAGGGGTGGCTCTTGCCGATGCCTTGCAAGCTGCACGCTTGCCAAGTACAGTCCCTTTGAAGAACCAGGACACGGGCCCAGCCAAGGGGCACAGCACACACAGGGGTGGGGACGTAGTTTTTGTTGACATTGACTTGGGCAACGAACCACGGGCAACGGGCGGGTTGGTTGCCTGCTCGCCTCGAGAACTGCATTCCAATGCAATTAGATGGCAAATGCGACTTTGTTGTCATGGCAATGCTTTAAAACGGCGCCTCCCGTAGGGGAGGATTCGGTTCTTGGAAAACTGCATATGGCATTTATACAAATACATACAACCACCAGTACCATGAGTAAAACCCGCTTTCTCCATCTACAGTTAACAGACAGTTGAAAAGTCTGAATTGCTAAATTATTTTTTTGAAGAGCTTGACAAACGAATTAAGAATGTAAATCCATTTACTAAAGGTAGCAAATGTTCATTTTAAATAGTTATCTAAATACATTTTTTTTAATTGAGTTAAACATAATAATAATAATAATAATAATAATAAACAAAGTAAACAATTTTATTTGTAAAAAAAATTTATTTTTAATAAATTATAATATTTTGTATTGTTGATCAAATACTTTTATTACCGCGTTTTCTCCCAGTTAGCTAACAAAACTTATACTCTTTTCAAAAGCTTAATTAATTTTAATAAAAAGGGTATTTAAAGTTCAAGATCACAAGAATCCTAGCTAAGCCTTCAATTATAGTTTAGTAAACCACTTATAGCTTAAAAAAAATAATATAAAATTTATTATTTATCGAAGATGAACAACTTAAGTATTCCCGTTTTTGAATTTTCGACAAATCAGAATAAAAAGTCTTGTACTTTTTACAACTCTCTAGAGATGAGAATGAAGTCATAAGCTCTTATGCATATGCGATTAATTTATTCACCATGTAGATATCGAAAACTTCTACTCTTAGATACAAAATTCGAGACTAGAAACGCCCCTCAATCAGTGTCAGTTTGACGCGTTGTGTAATGCCACAAAGTTTCCCAGTTCCAAAGTTCTCTTATTGATTATTTTGATGTGCTTACGCATTCGCTTCGTTGGGCATATGCAAAAGTATCTGTGTATCTACATAAAAGTATCTGCGGCTATACCGAAAGTAAGTCAAACTTGTTTATCAGCATAAATATAACACACGTTATCTCTATTTATTGTTCACGTATGTGGTAGATATGATAATTGGGTGGATGAGGAGAAAGGGGTGTAGCACACAGACACAAAAATAAGTTGCCAGCTAAATAAGCTCAAGTGGAGAAATTAGATAAAAACCTGTCGCATTGCAAAGCGGGCAAAGGGTTGGCTTTAGCTGAATTAAGGACCAAGCAGCTCACATACGCACGCATATACAAACACTCACAAAACTACCAACACACGCACACACAGCTTCCAGCTACTTCCCACCCGCCCAGACAGATGAGCAAAGGCAAAGGTCAGGCGAACAGAGTCAACCCCCAGCAGTAACCGAGCACCAACCAATCAAGTGGCCACCCAAACCAAAAGCTTCTGGCGCGCCACTTTTACTTTCCATTTAAACACCCTCCCAACCCGCAGCCCAGCATTCTGGTGACCCACCCATCGCCCTTTGCTGCCTTTCGCAATTAAATTGCTTGTTTATGTAAAAAAATTCGGTATTTTTATTTAGCAAAGTTTTGTGACTTCATCTTCTATATTCACAGAAACACTTTTTGAGCGCAAGCAAGGATTATTCAAGACAACAACAAAAATAAAGCCAAAACAAAAACAAAACGAAAAAAAAAAGGAAATTACGAAAACGAACAAATTTCAACGCAAGTTCTCGACAAAAGAAGCCGAAAAACACTTTTAGAGAATTATATATCAAAGCGAAACCTAACGACGAACCAAATAAAGAAAAACAAAAAAAAAAATTAAACGAAGACCAAAACAAAAAGAGAAAATAAAATCAACACAAATTTAAATAACATTAAATGCAAAGGACATTCGCATGTGTGTGGTGGTGGAAAGAAAATTCAAAACAAAATTCACAATTAGAAAACGCAGAAAAAAACGTAGAAAACGTAGACGCAAAATCAACAGCAACAGCAACAACAGAAACTGCAACTGCAACAAACTGTCAACAACATCGCGAGCAATTTTGAATTGTAACATTTCGACAAACAAGTTGAGCGAAAGCAAAATTTCAACGTTTGGCGCAACTAAACGAAGACAGCGAAAGAGAGGGAGAGAAAGAGAGAGAGCGAGCCCGTTACAAGGATAAGTAACCAGAAGAATTAGTAGTTCGGGTTAGCTACTAAGTTTTGAAGCATAGCAAATACGCACACACAAACACACGCAGACAACGACAACTCGGACCTACAAACAACCAGCTAAATCATAAAGAAAAGGATTACAGATCGGACAACCGAGTGGACTTAAACTTGAAATTACGCATACGCCGATTGAGCGCTACTGCGGCGAATTACTATACTAAGTTAAGGAGAGGAGCAGGAGAAAGCCGGCCACGACAACGCCGACAACATCGCCAACAACCAATCGAAGCCAAGGCGAAGTAAACGCTCTCTCATTAGCTAACTGGAGAAGTGGCCTCCTGCATGTGTGTGGCAGACGCTGTGAGAGCGCAATCGAAAGTGCAAGAGAGCAACGCTGCAAAGGCAACGGAGAGGCAACGTGGAGAGGCGAGCGCGCGCTGCTGCTGCTGTTTGGCGTCATCTTATGATGTCATCAGAGGAGTACGACGCGGACTGTTTTGGTTTGTACAGCGATGAGAACGATGTTCTGCTAAAGGCAACGGCAACCACATTGGAGGCAGAGGCTGAGTGTAAGCTGCAACCCCCACAGCAGGCAAAGAGCGTAGCGATTGCGCTGCCACCACCACCAACGCCGCAGCCACTGCAGGCAAGCAACGGCAACGGCAGCGGCATCGGTCGCACAACACCAACACAGACAAACGGTAGCGACGACGCGGCGAACTGCGGCGAAAACGTTAGCGAAGCGGAGAAGCATTGCAAAGGCAGAGCCAGCGACTCGGACGACGACGGTAACGACGAGGGCGACTCTGACTCGGACGACGTCGTCGTAATCGAAGGCAACAACGGCAAGGCGACCGCGATAGCAGCGGCAGCACCAACCAACAGTAACCGCCGCAGTCGCAGTCGCAGTCGTAGTAGTCGCCGTAACGCACTCAAACGACAAATCAGTCAGTCTACGGCCGTCGGCAAGACAACAACGTGCGCGGCTAAAAAACCGTTGACTACAGCGACAACATCAAGCAAAGTTGCCAGCAATTGTAACAGTAGCAACATTAACTCGAATTCGAACTTAGTGAGAAGTCGTCGCACGCGCACGCGATCCTTGAGCAAAGACAGTAACAATATTAGTAACAGTAACAGTAATTTGAATAGTAACAGTGTTTGTAATAGTGTTAACAATAACAGCTGCAGCAACGGCGGCGCAACGGCAACCGCTGCCTTCATGAGTAGCGCTGCTGCGGCTGCTGCGGGTGCCGCTGGTGGTGCACTCTACACTAACAACAACATTACCAACAACAACAATAACAACAGCAATAACAATAACAGCAACATCACGAGCAACTCAAACCTAAGCCCAACAGCAGCAACAATTGCCACAACAGCAGCAGCAACAACAGCAACTGCTTTATCCGGCTCCAGTTCGCCGGGCTCCGTAAATTCGGCATCATCGCTGCTTAGCGCAGCCTTTGGCAATCTATTTGGCGGCTCCTCGGCGAAAATGTTAAACGAGCTGTTCGGGCGGCAAATGAAGCAGGCCCAGGATGCCACCAGTGGGCTGCCACAGAGTCTCGACAATGCCATGTTGGCAGCGGCCATGGAAACGGCCACGAGTGCCGATCTGCTGAGCGCTGCTGGGCTGGTCAGCAGTTTAAATACCAGCAAATTGCTCAATAATAATAATAACAACAACAACAATACGCCGCTCAGCAACGGCAACAACAACAACAACAATGCTTCTATATCGCCAGGATCGGCTCACTCGTCCACTACCAAAGGTGGCAGCAGCCGGCGTGTGTCCAACTGCAGCGATCGCTCGCTGGATGGTAATCTGGCAGCAGCAGCAACAACAGCAGCAGCAGATGTTGCTGGTGGCTCGCCGCCGCGTGCGGCTTCGGTAAGTTCGTTGAATGGTGGCGCCAGCAACACCAACGAGCAGCAGCAACTGCAACATGATTTGGTGGCGCATCACATGTTGCGCAATATACTGCAGGGCAAAAAGGAGCTGATGCAGCTCGATCAGGAGCTGCGCACAGCCATGCAGCAACAGCAACAGCAACAACAGCAGCAGCAAAATCATGAGAAGCACCAACAGGAGCTGCACTCCAAGCTCAATAACAACACTACCACCAACAACAACAACAACGTCGTCTCAGAGAGCATCAATTTGATTGAGGACAGCGAAATGCCAGAGATTAAAATCAAAAGTGAGCCTGAGCTAATGGCATCAACAACACAGGCGCCGCATTCCCCACATGGCGGCAGCAGCCGCAGCCACAGCAGCAACAGCAGCAGCAGCCACAGCCACAACAGCAGCAACAACAGCATCGCAAGCAATGGCAGCCTGAGACGCAAATCCTCCGATTCACTGGACAGCATGCAGCGAGAAGAGCGTGCCACGCCTGCGACTACAGTTGAGCCACGGCTCCAGAATGAGGTGCTGCCGACGAAAAAGGAAGCCGTGGATGATATGCTGGACGAGGTGGAGCTGTTGGGCCTGTCTGGCCATGGGCATTCGCGGAACTCTGATCTGGAATCGCTGGCATCGCCGAGTCACTCGGACATGTTGCTGCTGGACAACAGCAAGGACGAGGTGCTGGACAACGACGACATAATCGAGGATGATGAGGACGACGATGATGACGACGATGATTGCATTGAGACAAAACGTGAGTCCAACACCAGCAGCTCCAACTGCCTCAAGAAACCCGGCATGGAGCTAAAGCGAGCCCGCGTCGAAAACATTGTGTCCAGCATGCGCTGCAGTCCCTCCGCAACGGCCCAGGCTGGCCAGTTGCAGGTGAATGGCTGCAAGAAGCGCAAGCTATATCAGCCCCAACAACATGCCATGGAGCGATATGTGGCCGCAGCGGCGGGTCTCAATTTTGGTCTGAATCTGCAAAGCATGATGCTCGACCAGGAGGACAGCGAATCCAATGAGCTGGAATCGCCGCAGATACAGCAAAAGCGCGTGGAGAAGAATGCGCTGAAGTCACAGCTGCGTTCCATGCAGGAACAGCTGGCCGAGATGCAACAAAAATATGTGCAGCTGTGCACGCGCATGGAGCAGGAGTCCGAGTGCCAGGAGCTGGACAACGATCACGAACAGGACATGGACAGCATGGAGCAAGAACAGGAACAGGAACAGGAGCAGGAGCCAGAGCCGTTGCAGCAACAAAACGATGACATCGAGCTCTCCCACTCGCCCACGCTCAGCGAATCCACGCCCAAGGAGTCAGCGGAACGTGCCGGCTCCAGTTCGCCCACATTGAAGCCACAGAGCAGCAGCAGCAATAAGAGCAGCAGCGACAATGTTGCTGCCACCACGCCCAATATGCTCACACAGATGATGTCCAAAATGATGTCCAGCAAGCTGCAGCATCAGCACAATCCGCTGGTGGGCGTCGCGCATCCAGCACTGCCCCAGGGCTTTCCGCCACTGCTGCAACATATGGGTGACATGTCGCATGCGGCTGCCATGTACCAGCAATTCTTCTTCGAGCAGGAGGCGCGCATGGCCAAAGAAGCTGCCGAGCAACAGCAGCAACAGCAGCAGCAGCAACAGCAACAGCAGCAACAACAGCAACAGCAGCAACAGCAACAGGAACAGCAGCGTCGCTATGAGCAGGAGCAGGAGCAGCAGCGACGCAAGGAAGAGCAACAACAGCAACTGCATCGCCAGCAACAACATTTGCAACAGTTGCAGCAACAGCAGCAGCAGATGGAGCATCATGTTGCCGCTGCTGTGCCACGCGTTCAGCTGCATCCTCCCGCCCGCCTCCCCACACGCATGGGCGGCGCTGCTGCTGCTGCTGCTGCTGCCGCACATAGTGTGCTCAAGTCCGAGCTATCCGAGAAGTTTCAAATGCTGCGCCAGCACAACAGCAGCAGTACCAGCAATAACAGCAGCAGCAACAACAACAACAACAGCAATAATAACAGCTCCATGATGCGCATGTCCGGCACCGATTTGGAGGGCCTGGCCGATGTGCTCAAATCAGAAATAACTACATCGCTGTCCGCTCTGGTGGACACAATTGTCACACGTTTTGTGCATCAGCGTCGCCTGTTCAGCAAACAGGCGGATTCGGTAACGGCGGCCGCCGAGCAGCTCAACAAGGATCTGATGCTGGCCTCCCAGATACTCGATCGCAAATCGCCGCGCACCAAAGTCGTCGCCGATCGCGGACACAGCGGCAACAGCGGCCATCCGGGCGCCCAGAACGGTCCGACGCCAGCAACACAATCAGGTAATAATGGTTCAATACTATTAGCTAATAGTCAGCAGGCGTGTCAGGGTCAGGGCAACAGCAGCAGTGCTGTCAATGCAAATCAGCAGCAGCAACAACAACAGCATCAACTTGCACAGCAGCAGCAGCAGCAACAACAGACCGCACAGCAGCTACAACAGCAACAGCAGCAACAACAGCAGCAACAGCAGCAACAACAGCCGCCACAGCCGCAACATGCCCTAAATCAATCGCAAGTTATGTCTGCCATGGCAGCTGCGCAGCAGCAATTGCCAAATTGCCAGCAGCTGATTGCTGCTCCCCGTCTCAATGGCAATCAATTGTCGTTTGCCTCACCCGCGGCCGCTGCTGCCGCCGCCATGGGCTTGCAAATGCATCATGCTGCCGCCGCGGCTGCCATGCAGCAGCAGCAGCAACAGCAACAGCAGCAACAGGCTGGTGAGGCGGCTGTTGCTGGCGGCAATGCGGTCAATACTGTTAACCAAACGAATGCAACTAACAATAGCTTAAGTTCACTTAATATACCACCACCTCACATACGTCCCTCGCCCACAGCGGCGGCCATGTTTCAGGCGCCCAAAACGCCCCAGGGCATGAATCCGGTAGCTGCGGCTGCGCTCTACAATTCGATGGCAAGTCCCTTCTGCCTGCCGCCCGATCAACAGCAACAACAGCAGCAGCAACAGGCCGTACAGCAGCAACAGCAACAGGCCGCGCAACAGCAGCATCAGAGCGCCCAACAAACCCAACAACAGCTGGAGCAGAATGAGGCCTTGAGCCTGGTGGTGACACCCAAGAAGAAACGACATAAGGTTACCGATACACGCATCACGCCGCGTACCGTCAGCCGCATATTGGCTCAGGATGGCGTTGTGCCGCCTAGTGGACAGGCAGCTGCCGCAGCAGTTGCTGCCGCTCAACAACAACAACAGCAACAGCAGCAGCAGCAGCAACAGCAGCAACAACAGAGCAGCAATGGTAGCAGCAACAACAACAACAATGCAACGCCCGCACAGAGCCCAACGGGTCGCGGCCAGGCCGCAGGCACATATCATCCACCGCCACCACCACCACCACCCATGATGCCAGTGTCTTTGCCCACCTCGGTGGCCATACCAAATCCATCGCTGCACGAATCCAAAGTCTTTTCGCCGTATAGTCCATTCTTCAATCCGCATGCGGCGCCGGGTCCACACGGTCCGCCACATGGCGGTCAGCCCACAGCTGCACAGTTGCACCACCAGCACCACCATCAGATGCAGCTTTCATCGAGTCCGCCAGGCAGTCTGGGCGCATTGATGGATTCGCGCGACTCACCGCCACTGCCACATCCGCCAACGATGCTCCATCCCGCTCTTTTGGCAGCTGCCCACCATGGCGGCTCACCGGACTACAAGACCTGCCTGCGAGCCGTCATGGATGCTCAGGATCGGCAGTCCGAGTGTAACTCGGCCGACATGACATTCGATGGCATGCAGCCTACTATATCCTTTTTAAAACAACAACAACAATCGCAGCTATCCGGAGTGCACTCAGTGCCAATGGTCAAGTGAGTTTAACCCATCTAGTCCACACAGTGCCAAGTGGTGCAGAGCAATTGGCTTGCATTGGGGAGACGAACTTAAGTACATTTACCTGAACGCAATCAAAGGGGCCTTGCTTACAAAACGAAACCAATCAAGTGTCTTCTTCAGTTTATTTATTTCCCATTTAAACTAAATTCTTTTATAAAATGTAATCAAAACCTTATTTATTGCAACGCCCCAAACGACACAGCAACAAACAGCTAACCAATCCAACGGCCACCCAACCCCACATCCAGACCTCAGCGAGGAACCCTCAAGTCATCATCGTCTCGGTCTCGACCGCCTCTTGGCTTGAGTTGCATTTGCAATCGCAGCAACAGCAACTAGCAAAAAATCAATGCCCAATCGGCACAGCCAATTGCAATGTGCTCCAAGTGTTGCCTCCCACCGCAACCCACCCCTTCGAAGACCCCACTAAGCAGCGCACCAACAACAGCCTGAATTCATTCTCAATATACCCTTTACTGTGTCAGGTACGACGATTATGTTATAAATTCAAGACGTGTCCGTAGCACGGTGGGCTTAACGTCTGAGCACGAAGTTTATGGATCAAATCTCCTTGAAAACTTTTAAATATATCTAATAAATAATTTCCTCTTTATTATAAGGAATCTTATTATCTATATAAAAAGCATAATTAGCTTCTGTTTTGGAGTTCTCTAGTTTTTAGTTTAGCGAATAGTAAGCTTCGAGCTTAAGCAATTTGTAGAGCAATCAAATTTCGTTGCAACTGGCTGCTTGTCAGTTTTCTCTATTCTCGCAGTTTTGTGTTTTCAATCAGCCAACGGCAAGTGGCAAGCTCAGCGCCCCTTTCCACAGCACCCAACCCTCCTTCCTGCTATCCTCCCGCATTACACTACACGACGCCCTTAGATGTTCATTATTGGCATTTATTGCTGCCTTTGCAACACTTGAAAGTGCAACAGCAAAGTTAGACATGCCCCTTCGTCAACTCTTTGGCTTTGCCCCCCACCCACACACTTGGCACGAACGTGGAAACTTCCTTGGGTGGAAACTGCATTGACTATAATAACCATATACCATATTATATACGACATATATACATTTAGCAATCATTGCGAATCCTTGACTCCTCTGCACTCTTCTACATTGACACCGATGCACCTGCGCAAGGCCAAGCTGATGTTCTTCTGGGTGCGCTACCCGAGCTCAGCGGTGCTCAAGATGTACTTTCCGGACATAAAGTTCAACAAAAATAATACAGCACAATTGGTGAAATGGTTCTCGAATTTTCGGTAAGTTGCACACGCCTCCACACACGCCCACCTACACTTATCTCTATATATATATTTATAATACCCCTATAAGTATCTGTGATATCTGTCTCTCTCACTCTTAAATTATGTGTAACTTTTTTCAAGCAGCATTCATTTTTATGATTTCATTTATGTTTTCATTAAGTATGTGTGTGTATATATACTATATACACTATCTATATCTGTCAGGCACTTTCAACAGAAATTCCAATTCAATCCGATTGCCAACTGTCGAATCCTTGACTCGCACTCAAGAAAGCGCACCAACTGACGTCCCAGCACATGCAATGCGCTCCCCACCCCATTTAAGCCCGCCCCAAAACCAACTACGAGAAAGAACGGCTATTTTCGACAGGCCAAAATGTTAATACCCTTGTATGTAAGGAGCATAGTGAAGCCTTGGTTAGAATATCCTACGAACGTAACATTCTTATTCTTAAAGAGCTATATGATATAGTAATCCGAGTTTTGCTCATTAATTTCAAGTTGAGTCAAGAAACAGAGGTAAATTTTCGTTCGATAACCATATTATATAGTGATCTGATCATATTCATGACGAAAGCTTTAGAGCCGAGAGACTAGTTTGCATAGAAACAGAAATCAATCGTAAATGTCTCACTCTCCCATGACTGAATAATACCATCCACAATGGTATTCAATATAATGTATTTCCCAATTTCATTTGCAATACTTGCACGTCAGTTGTTGTCTGGGGGCGCAAGAAGTTGCAAAAAAAAGGAAAAATAATAAATAAATAGATATATATTTATTAGAAGTCAGAAAACTGAAACGACAGCTGGCAAAGGCTTCAGAGCTCGGTGCGGCACAACTGAGGGTCCTGCAGTATTTTGCAGTGAAGAGCTGTGCTTCGATTTTCGCGCCAAATTCGAGGCACATCTGCAGCCAACCACGCGACAGGACAATAGTTCACCTGGATTTTGATTTCAGCCCCTAACACAAAACACACAATCACACAGGCACACACACATACGCACATAGCTCACTGACTTAGCAGCTGTCCCTTCGGCTGCTCGTGCTTAAGCACCTATCCCCTAACCCTGCCCGTCCCTCCCTGCCCTGATTTGTCTCAAGACATGCGCAACGTCTTAAGAAATTCGCCGTAGTCTTTACCTGCGCACCAAAAACTCGGCACGGGCCCGGCTTTGCGAGGTTTTTCCCTCGGCTTTGCACCTTTTGTTTAGTTTTTTGTTTTGGGTAGTTTCTTAGGGGTTGCTGCTCCACAGGGTTGTCTTATGAATGAAACCAGACTTTGCATGGGAATTTCTTGGCGTATCTCCTTATTTCTTTTTCTCGTTTGCGACTTCAACTTTCGACTGCTGAGGTTAAAATGGGTGGGAATATTTTTGTTGATTGCATTTGATTTTTATTTTCTGCTTTTTAAGTTCCCAGCGCTTAATACTGAGGGTTAAATCGCCGCGTAACGGTTTTCTTTTTCTTGATTTTCAGTTACTTAACTTTTTTGCATTTGTATCTCATGAGGTTATGTTGCATTTGCAGTTGTATTTTCATTTATTTATCAACATGCAAGCCAAGGAAACTAGCACTTACTCACACGTACTCATCAAAGTTTAACACTATGAGTTTAACCCACACTCTCGCACAAACATTATACGCTTAATAACATGTTGCATGCGGCTTGTTGTGGCCACTTAAGAAAATGCAAAGTATCTGCCGCTGCCCTGCAACATTGAGTCCTGGTCCATGGTGCTTTGCCGCATATTTGAAGTGTGAAAGAATGTGGCAGTAGCCGCTGCTTATTAAAAATAGAGGGAGCCTCGAGCTGGCGCCGGGACTGTGGCTGGAACAGTGGCTGGGGTTGAGTGTAGCCATTTCTTGCTACTCTTTGTCCTTTGTGTTGGCTAATTAGCCCAAGTGCCTTTTGTATTTGTATGGCACTTATATAATTGCATTATCTACCGCAGCTCTTATGGCAAATGCAAATACTGAAAAGAAAGCAGCCAAAGTACCATGCATGTCCTGCCAGCACACACACACATACAGTGGGTGCCAGGCTAATTAGTTTGTTTGACTCTGACTGCCAGTTAGACGCAAATGCAGCTCCTTTCTTTGGGTTTTGTTTGGGGCAGCTACTTGAGAATCGCGCCTGGCGAGATGCGCATAATGGCAGTCCCCTTCCTGCCGCGCTTAGCTGGTAAAAGGCGCTCAAGGATATGCAAGGAACTCACACACACGCTCTCCACACACACATGACATGACTACCTATGCGCTGTGTTTTTTTTTGTGTTTGTTTTTGCCTATTTTTTGTTTTGTTTGTTTTTTGTGTTTCTCATCGAGCATTTTGAGGTTAAGTGTCCTTAGAGAAGCTAAAGTACTCCCCCTCCACCCCACCCCTCTTAACCCGCCCCTGCCAGCCAGCCAGCCGCGTGAAAAGATCTTGCTGAAATAATAAAAAAAAAGGAAAATATCATGAAATGAACAGCAACAACAACAGCACACATGATACGTATCTAAAAAAACATACACACACAAACACACACACACATATTTCAGTATATATATAACGATGCTTACATATCTATATATATATATATATAAAGTGTTGCCAATTACTTCATTAATGTATGAGGTAGAGATGTCTGCATATGTGTGGGTGAGTATGTGTGAGCTTATTAATGTACTTTACTCTCTATTCATAACATAAGTGAATGGCACTTCTGAAGAAAGCAAAGAAGTAGCAAAGAAGCAGACTTGACACACACACACGCACACACACAGCGAAACACAGACACACATACACAAACAAGAGCCACACTTAAACAGTCAGTAGTGTGTGCACGCTTGCATGCAAATGGGCAGAAGAAGCAGCAGTAGCTGCCGCACTTATGGCCACGCCCATGCCACGCCCCGAAAAATGCAGCATACAAAATAATGAATTGTAAATAGGCTACGAAAAATATATAAACTAATTAGTTAGAGCAGCGAGTGCACATCCGTTAACGCCATTTTGTGTGTGTGCGAGTGTGCGAGTGTGTGTGTTTCGCAGCGTATTATCTAAATTAAGTGGTGCACACTTATGGCAGGCAGTTAGCTAAACTTCCTTTTCCTGGCCCCCACAAACCCAACCAAGCCCAGCCCAGACCAACCAAGCCGCAACACTTGATGCGGCATTTGAAAGCCTGCCTCAAGCGAAACGGCAACAACATCAACAACAGGCAAAACCCAAAGCTAATTGCATTAACACACACATACACACGCACACACGTACACACAAAATATTGTGCTTTTCACACACGCCTACAAGTAGGCAACTGCATTGTTGTCAAACGCCTAATAACTATAGACCACAAAGCGCAAAGCCCCTGCCACATTTCTAGATATTGTTGCAAGCCTTAACAAAGGCACCCACGAACACTCACGCACACACACACACACACACACACACACACACACACACACACACACACACACACAATCTGTCACAATTTGTACTGTTGGCTTCTTGTGGCTGGGCCCCACTCCCACCCCACCTCTCTCATTATGTGGACTGCCCATTGTAGGGAAGGCCCGCCGCAGTTGCTGTTCAAGTGCGCGTGGCAGCCGCCTCCGGGGAGCTCCTCGCAGCTTGACAGGCCTCGTTCCCATTCGCGATGAGACTTGCAAAGATTTAGCTACTTGCCACCGCGAATCAGTTCTATTTGTGCAAAGCGCGCTTATTGTTTGGAAAAAATCAACACGAGAAATATTATGCAGCTGCTGGGAAATCTTGAAATTAGCGCGATTATCGGAGCGTTGCCAAAGTGGGCGGGCAGCAACAATTGCAGCTCACAGACTACGTGACTGGGTTAGGGGTGGACTGTTCATTAGAAAAAGACAAGCAATCACTTACACACACACACCCAAGCCCCACTCCCCGGCACTGCCCTGTTGCTCCATGGCAGACACAAATCACTTGACTAAACAAGGCGGCGACACAGCAGCCAGCACGAGAAGGCACCACTGAGAGGCACCACTGAGCCACCGGCTGCACTTGCTAATTAAGTCCCCAACCACTAGGCAATTGGCAGTCGACAGTCGGCCCAAAGGGTGAAGCGAAACCACAGCAAGAAGACGCTGCACGTTGATTTGCAATTGTTACTGCCCACATCGGGGCGCCAGGATATACATATATATGTATTGCTGCAGTACCCTTCAACGCTGTCGTTGCACATTTGAGATTTATTAAAAATTCTTTACAACAAAGAAGCACAAAAATCACTTCCACACATATACACAGACACCGAGACAAAGTCGAGGCTTTTAGGGTAGGAAATCGTGGCGCGCCTAAGAGTATGCTGCAAATTTATTAATAATGTCATATTGCAAAGTCGATCCAATATAATGCATTAAGCCCATAGAGTCGAGAGCAACAGCAGTCTGAGTTAGGCTTTGAGGCTACAGAGAGACAGACAGGCGTCCTGTGAGTGCGAGTTGGAACTTCCTTTTTAGGGGTGTATGCATGTGACTACTTTTTGATTTTCAATTCGAGTTCAGTTTTGTTCCAATTATATGTATTTCATTTACTTGACTATTTGTGTTTTATAATTTCGTTTTTTTTTTATACGTATCTCTTTTATGATTTTTGTATGTTTTACCTTTATTTCGTAAATTTGAATGCTGTCCAAAATACTACAAAATCTCCAAAAAAAAAAAAAAAAAACAATAACAAATCAAAGCATAGCTAAATAGTATACTGACCAAATCCAAACATATTCCTCATCTACGCATCTGCAGAGAATTCTACTACATACAAATGGAGAAATATGCACGACAAGCTGTCACTGAAGGCATCAAGACACCCGATGATCTGTTGATTGCTGGAGATAGTGAATTATATCGCGTGCTCAATTTGCACTACAATCGCAATAATCACATTGAGGTATGCAACAAAAACACACTAACAAGCAGAGCTGTAAATACTTTTAATTACAAGTAACTTAGAACTTCAAAAATGGTTCACTTCTCTATTACAATTACTTTTGAACATATAAATTTAATTAAAGTAATTACCAAAGTAAATGAAATTTTTTATGTAATAAGGTAATTACACCTCTGTTAATAAAATTAACATTAACATACACATTAACGGAGTACGGTGTACAAGTGTGAGAGTGTGTGTGTTGCTATAAACTATGGCACACTCACACACTCATACTCTCTCACTCACTCACATACATATGCACACACACACACACACAATACATTAACACAACGATCTTTCGCTGCCGTGACCTTTTTGCTAATGTTATCGTCTTCGCCTTCGACTCCGCCCACGCCCACAGGTACCCCAAAATTTTCGCTTTGTGGTCGAACAGACACTGCGTGAATTTTTCCGTGCAATACAGGGTGGCAAAGACACCGAGCAATCGTGGAAGAAATCTATATACAAAATAATCTCACGCATGGACGATCCCGTGCCCGAATACTTCAAGTCGCCGAATTTTTTAGAGCAACTGGAATAAGTGGAGGAGTTGGCTATGCCAACGATGCCACCACCCCAGAATCAACCTACGAACCCTGCTACGACTACCACAACAACAACTGCAACAACAGCAATGCCGAAAGCGAAGCGAAAACAAAAGTTAAAAAGTTAAATCTACGGAAGAAATACAACTGGATATAATGCATATATAACATTTGTATTATGTGCACACTCACACCAAAGAGGCAACACTTTTCTTAGGTATTCCCCGGATTTTTCTTTTGGCCTGTCGTCGAAAATGAATAGAATAACCACAACCACAAGAAAGAAATCAATTTGCAATCGGAAATATTTCTGTAGAGCCGTAAAATATTTTTTTTTAAATTTCGCAAAATGCCGTCGTCGCTCCCTGGAGCTAAACAAAAACAACAAAATACACAATAATAGGCGAAAGTCGCATTAGGTTTAATGCAACAGCAAAATCAAATAAAAACACACTTACACACACACAATATATATATAAACATGCCTCAGCCTAAAACGTGAGCGCTGAAAAGTATGCAACGCTTTTGATCATCTACCAAATGTTGTCCCATCAAAAGAAAAAGAACAAGAAATATAGTGCAAATTTAAAACCTGAGCCGGTAAAGACACCAGCACTCTCACACTTACACATTCACACACACACACACACACACACACACATAAACGCATACACTACAATTGTATCTATACAGAGTGTAAACTGTACTCTGACCGTTGGGGTTGCTAGTTGAAATTTTTTAAAAAATATTTTTACTATACGTTTATATTACAAATACATACATAGTTGAGCAATCTATTAATCTACCGAAAGTTGACACACATTCCAAAGACACAATCTAATCATAAACAAACACATACACACACACTTTTACACTTCGGTACAGTTTTCGCAGGAATTTAGAGTGTGTTTTTCCAGCCGATTGAAAAGTTCTTTGCAGCTGGAGCTGTTACTGATCCAATTGCAGACAAACTTTTCTGAACGTCTTTTAGGCGGCAGTGTTGCACAAGCTTTAAAAAAGTGTAATGCAATGTTGTCGTAAGAACATAAAATAAATTAACCAAGTTCAGGTTGCTTATTTCCTTTTAACATTAAGCACAATTCAATGTCTATAAAAAAGCAAAAAAAAAAAAAAAAACAAAAAAAAAACAAAAGAAAATTAATCAAGAAAAACGTATAAATTCGCGAGTAGTATTTACAATGAAAAAACTAATAATAATTTGTATTAGCAGCGGGCGTTAGGGTAGTTAAATTTATTTAATGTTATGCAAAAAAATACGACCAAAGTTTATTGTTAATGTGCTAAATTTTAATGCGATTTTTTATTTTAAATCATGGCCCATCTTTAAATAAAAATTTTTGAATGCACCCAATTGTGCACGCATATTAATTTTTTAAAACCAACACACACACACACACACACACTAGTCTGTTATTTATGTATATATACGTTTAGTTGAATAGCATTCGATTTAAGTTTATATTTAGTTTAATTTACTTGGCCTTAAGTTGCAACAAATATATAAAAAACCAAATATATACACAAAACAAGAAAACCACATTAAAATCAAAACATTTGAGTTTCTTTTCTTATATGTTATCGATCCCACATTTTATCGTTTTGAATATATGTGCCGCCGGCTGTGTACCTCATTATGCACTTTCATTTCACACCAAGCATGGAAAGTGGGCGGGTTAAGAGGGATATGTTTGCCTGCTCTGATCATATGGGGCGGGCAAACGGGTGCTGCACAACACCAATTGCAGCACACCAACAATAACAACAACAACAACAACAAAATAACATTCATCAAAGCATGCAAACACATAAAAACATCGCGAAAATATCGAACAAGAAAAAAAGAAAAGAAATATTCCTCAACAACTTTGCGGCAACCATTCGAAACACACAAATTTCGGCCCATCATGTGCTTTGAGGAGCTCATAAGCCGGCACAAGCCGACTACCCCAACCCTAACGCCCCCTAGCACTATTTTATTGGCAGAAAATAAGGGATTAGAGTCGGGAAGAACACCGCTTTATATAGAACATACTTAGCTGATATGTTCAACAACATAATGCAACAACTTTTGGCAACCCAATGGATTAAGCAAAATTTTTACAATAGTCGAATTTTAGCTAAAGCGAAATTGAATCGAACTAACAACTTTTAGGCCTAAACCCATTGAATTATGGTAAACTAAACAAAATTTTATGCAATTCGGCGTAATTATCACAAAATTAAACAAAGTATAAACGGTGAGTTTCCTAATCTAATGCAAAAAATAAAAAATTAATAACAATTTTGGAAAATTTTAATTGATATCGAAATTAAAATTAAAATTTCTTTAAAAAAAAAAGATGAAAAGAAAATTGAAAAACTCATAATTAGATTAACAAAGCGTACAAACATAACTTGTTTATATTGGCAAAAGTAAATATTTATTTTGATTTTCATTTATTTTCCATTTTTTTCTTGAGGTTCTCATTTCATTTCGCACACTTGCAGCAAACACAAAACTCAAAATTGAAAGCTCGTTGATTGTTAATGCCTTTACAAAATTTATTATGCGGAAACGATACTAAAAGAAACACTTTTGGCACTGAAGTTGACAAAAAAATTTATTTAAATACAATTGTAACTGATTTTGTGATAAGACAAAAAACAAAAATGCACAAAAAAAAAACGAATGAAACATTAAACAGCATTATTGTTTTGGTATATGCCAATATGGTGGCTACGTGGGGGCGGTGGTCACCCACACTGGCCACACGAGCCGCCATACGAAATTATTGATTGTAAAAATAGTTAATTGAAAGAGATTAATCTAAACGAAAATTAAAAGAATATTAAAAAAAAAAAACCTTTAGGCAATTTAAGGCGTATTAACAATAAACAAAAGCTACAAAACTTTCGGCTAAACAAAAAAAAAACTTTAGGCAAAATTTTATAAATTAAGCAAGTCGAAATTCAGCATTTTTAACATAGAAATGAAAACCAAAACAAACGGCAAAAACTCGCCAATGAACCGTCAAAATTGAAAAAATAAGTTGCAAAATTTGAAGTTCTGTTTTTTTTTTTTTTAAGTTTATCAATTTATTTACTTGTGTAGGTTTTCTAAGAACACACCATTAAAAAGATCACAAAAAGATTGTCATAGCTCATTTTATTGACGAATTCAATGAGATAAAACAAGAATTCGAAATGTTTGAAAAATTTAAATCAGCCCATTTAACATACTTGCGTACCAATAAGAAGAACAACAAATACAACACATACATACAACTACATATACTATATAAATTGACATACATACATATTTCATACATTTATACTTACATACATAATTATACTATAAGCGAACAAAAACAAAACAAAAAAGGCATATTAATAATTGGTTAATAAACTAAATTCATTGAGAAAAAAAAAAACAAATAAACAAAACGAAGATTGCTTTTTCTTTACAAAATTCCTTTCAAACTTTGGCATTGCTTCTTTTTTGTCAAAATTTTTTATGTTAATTTATTTTAATTACAAAAACTATATTATAACTTTTGGCAATGATCAGAGAACAATTTTGATATCAACGGAAATGATTGGCCTTTACCAACACTACAACACTACAAACTCAAACCTAAATCACATGCACAAGTAACTAACGGTAAGCGAATCTATTTCATAAAACAAATTATTATCGCAGCTCAAGTGCGGGATTCACACAAGCAGCGGCAGTCATTAAACTATATACATTACTCTTTGGCAGTAAACTTTTAAGGCGCTGAAATTGCGTTTTATTTTCCGACACACGCGTCTATGTGAACAAGATTTTGGTGTACATAAATCTCAAAATATATATAAATCGAACGCCATAGCCTAGAGAATAGTTTGAATCATTTATGCTACAAAACTTGCAACTGCTTTTGTGAACCCATCAAAAACATAGTACAAATACAGCCAAAGTACAGTTTACACCCTAAGTAAAGGGAGAGGCCAGGACATAGCATAAGCATCTAAAACTTCAAAGCAAGCAAACCAGACAGCCAGCCATCCAAACCAGCAACATCCGACAACAAACTACAAAATGCAGTGATCGCAACCATGCGGCGGCAACCAAAACAGCCAACCAGAAAAAGGTAAACCAGGTAAACAAATAAACAAAACCACAAAAATAGTAAGGATAAGCTGTACGCGCAGTGCTGGTAAACGCACTATGCGGCAGCGCTACAGTGCTGCAAAGCAGCACATTCACAGACCGAAAACTAAGGCGAAAGAATTTCATTTACTGATTAACTGAATGTGAGCATAAGCACAGCAAATTAAACTTAATGCATAATGAAAAACCAAAAACTACACATAATCTAAAAAGCAAAAACCCAAAATATATACTACACGTAAACCAAATAACAAATATAAAAGCAGATGCAGCCATATGCAATTTTAACTAGATTTTAAAGCATTATTACAGCAAAATAACAAAATAACAAAATACTGAATACCGCATACTCTGAATGAAGAAAAGATTTAAATGAGAACAATTGGTCAAATTTGTACATAAAACTCACATTTAAATACAACTACATACACGTAATTAAATATTACTACAGTTTAAGCATAAGCAAAACAAACCTAAAGCTAAACCTAAACAGCATAATAAACCCTACTCCCTATGTCAGCCCCCAAACATCCAAGTAACCAACCCAAAATCAGAAGTCAGTCAAGGGCAAAGGCAATCCTTATACACAGAGCTTTACTGCATTGAAAATGCGCGCAAATGATGATTTTTTCTTACTTTCGAGAACATGTGCCAAAACAAACCAACAGATACATACATAAAGTTACAGATACAAATGTATCTAATACAGGACATATATGTATATCAAATAACACAATGATTTTGGAAAAAAAAGGTAATATGAAATTTTAAATCATAATAATATTTGCTTCTATTTAGGTAAGTTAGTTAAACATCCTTGTTTTGGAAAACATCTGATCACAAAAAAGTATAATGAAAATGAGCACACAAATTTGCAGTTTAGGTTAATACAAACAAAAAAAGAAGAAATAAAACAAAAACGAAATAAAATCAAAATCCAAAAACCAAAATAAGCGAAAACGAATACTTAAAATGATTGCGTTTTTTTAGTAGCAAACGCGATTCACAAAATTTGCAAACACTTTTGACCGAAAATGAAAAATTATATATATTATAAAAGAAATACAACAACAAAAAGTTTTGAGAAGAATGTCAATTTTTATCACTTATTTGGCGAAGAGTATCAGAGAATACCAATTTTTGAGCGCATCGTAATAGATGCGCCGATTTTTTAGTTCACAACTGCAATAGAGCAGCACAGCCAGTGCATTACTTTTGGCGCACACTGTGCTGCACACAAACGGATTAAGTTCAAATAAATGAAATTTTTCCAATTACCGAACAAATATAAAGCAACAATTTTAAGCATCCTTAGTTCTCAAGTTTATAAATAGATGTTAAAACTTTTGGCTTATGATATAAAAGAGTAAAAGTAACAACAAAGTAAAAATTCAAAATTCGATTGATATATATATTATACACACATAACACACTCACACACATACACACATACATATACACAAGCCCTACACATACATGCACACACACACACATGCTGCACATGTTTGTGAAGCGAAAAATCAAAATATAAAAAAAGTTGCATAACATTTACCATAATAATATTAACAAATAAATAACTAACAAATCGATAACTAAGTATTCAACAATTTAGTTTTAACAGCCAACAATAGCCAGGGAAACATACACAACTCGTATGTGATATTTTTGAGTTAATCTCTCATTTATTTTTACTGAAACGCATATACAGCAAAATAAAAAACAAAAACAAAAGAAACAAAAAAACAATGTAACAAGCCCAGTTCAATGTGACAATACAAGCGAACAAGAGCAACCAAATATTATTATAATATTAACAATAATAATAATAATAATAACAACAACATACACACACAGCACTTCCAACAGCAACTTCTTTTGGGTTGTCTACACATATCAAAAACCAAAACAAAGAACCCAACCATAACGTAACATGTTTTTCTGTTGACTCTTTAAGCCATCCTAAGTTCAAATTTTAAACATGATATTTACCAAGTATAACAAATAACATATATAAAAAATCTATAAATATTATAAGTGTTTATATAGTTGAATTTTCAATGACTAAACCAAATGTCTAAACGAATTTTATGCCACAGTTTCATTTGCAATAGTCAAAACGTGCCAACCGCGCGTACCGGGATAATTTATAGTACAATGCAACAACAACAAAACAAAACAAAACAAAACAAAAAACAAACAAACAACAAATACATACCAATAAATTTTTATAAAACTATTTATATTTTTATAAAAAAATAAACAAAACAAAAACAAAAGATCGATTATGAATTAACCACAACAACAACAATAGCCAATTAGCATAATAAGCCAAAACTTTTAGTTGACAATTCACACATTTTTTGTTCACAATTTAACAACAGCAACATTTATGTTTTAAGTTTAAAAGAAAAACAAGAAAACAGAGCTGGCTGCCGGAAAAAGGTAAAACAACTTGCCACGCAATACAATTGAGGAGAGACAATGCAAGCACATGCCATATACGAAATTAACAATAGAATCTATAAGAAAAGCCACACGTGTCGAAGACTCGAACACTGAAAGACTGGAAGATGACCCTAAGATGCCTGCCTGCTAAAAAAAAAACAAACAAACAAACAACAAAGAAATATTCGCCCAGCCCGTGTGCTTGCAACAACAAAGCTCTGACATTGTATGATAGCGTGGCAAGTCCTTGCCACCATCCTTAATCAAATTCGCAGCAGCAGCAGCAAGAATAGACAACAAAATAAGTGATAAAAACAAAACAGCAAATAAAACCTTTTGTTTCACAATTCTTTTACGAAAAATGAAAAACAATCAATCAATTGATATGAACCACAAGCATTGCGTGCGTTAAACTGATCCAATTTCTGACAGGGGCGATTGCGGCGACTGCGCCTGTGCGTATGCAACAGAAAATAACTGCAAGCTCCTTTGGTTTACTCTCTCACACACACGCAGACAGCAATACAAAATAGCAACAATAAACAAGCGATAAATTGATCAAGCAATTCGAGCAAAAATGTGCGCCTCAACGAGCCACAGACAATAGCCCAGCAATATTATTCTTATTTTCCCAATGGGCGCCATCTTTGTAATTCCCCGAGAATTAAAGTGGCGCCAACCAGCCGTAAAAACAGAAGTACAACCAAACCAAAAACAAATATTGGCACCATGAATCGCACAGATAATTGACGATAATGTTGAAAATATATTCTGTTGCACCGCTACGTGAACAGCCGTCAAACTAATTGGAATCTATATAGAATATAGGTACAACAAAAACATATAGATATACCCAAAATAGAGCGCCGCTTGTCAGAAATCGCCTCAGACGTTTGTCAAAATTCTACAAAAATTTTTTGTAAAAACTGTAGGAGCAAACGAAAAACGCAATTTTATCAAATGATATATATGATAGATTATTGATTTTCAGTTTCCTAATTCTAGTTGAATCTCAGTTTTGTTGTTTTGTTCGCTTTTACTTTTCATAAAAGCGAAACCAACACAAACAATGTAGGTGACACGCCCCTTGTGCGTGTGTAAAATATGTATAAAAAAAATAAAAAAAAAAAACCAAACAAATGAATAACAAACACAAAAACAAAAAAAAAAACAATTAAAAGCAAACAATATTTATACAGAGACTGCAAACAAATGTGATCAGATATTTTATAATAATATAAGTTTACAAGAAACCGCTAAAAACAAGTAATAAGAAAGCCAAAACCTAAATTCTCTAGTATTTATTGCAATAGCGAAACAAATCAAAATCGAGAACATCCACTAAAGAACAAAGAACAAAGAACAACAAACGCAACCTTGTAAGCAAAATGTAAGTCAATATTAAAACGTAAGTGAAACAAAACGAAAAACAAACAAAAAATATTTATAATAATATTTTTTACAATAGCATATACAAAAAACAATCTCTAAATATAGCAAACGACAAAAAAACCGAGCGAGAGCCGCAGCCTAGCAGACAGTCCCCCCCTCCAACCCCCCGTCGAGGAGCAGGCTGCAGCTACTTGCGCAACAGTTGCCTTTCACAGAAACAATTTACCGTTTAAGTTACAAATAGTGAAATAGACAAAACAAAATGGCGGCGGTCTCAACAGAGCGTTGCCACAGTTTCAACCAGTTTTCAGTTAACAAATGTTTAAGTTCATTAAATACAACAACAACAACAGCTGCAAAATGCTGTTTATTTAGTTAACGGTTCATACAAAGATTATATTTAGTTTCAGTAGGAGTGAAGAGTGAAGTAGAAGAAGAGCAAGAGCCAGAATGAGGAGTAATGAATTGCGAGCTCAAAGCAGTAACAAAAACAGTTCAAGCCTCAAAACTTGATTTAAAAAAACAAAAACAAAAACAAACAGAAACCAAAAGTAGTAACTTTTAAAACAATTTTTCAATCTGTTGTATGATTTAAAATCGTTCAACTAAGTATAGCTGGATATATATATATATGTATATATATATATATATCTGTTCATACAACAACAACAACAAGTTTAGGTACATTTTGCTATGATTTTGCAAGTTTTCAAAACAAAATTACTTTCAGTTCAGAACAATAGTGCCGGTAATATTATTGATATAAGTAACTATATACATGAATATCTATACAAATATGTATATATATATATATATTTAAATAAATATATATATACATACTCTATACGTCGTAAACATTATTCCAGCATAGCAGCATAGCTAATGCTCTAAATGTACACTGAAGGAAATACAGCAGAAACAACCAATTCAAATGATATGCAACACAAAAGTACGGAAAAGTTATTTATTTGCGCTAAATTTTTTGTAGCATATATAAGCGAGTGTTTTAAGAACGCCTTTTGCCCAGAATCTGTCTACGAACCAAATGCCCAACCCCCTTACACAAACAACGTATCCTTCATATATGCATCATGACACATGCCCTATAAATATATATAACTTATTAACTATATAAGATGAAGTAAATCGAAAAAAAAAGAAAACAAATAATCATAATGGTAGTTGCTATTTTAAATATGTATTACAACAAATAAACAAAAAGAAAAAAAAACTATCATCAAATATGCAGCACAGTATGCAATAAATGTTGAGCAGGAACCAGAAAACAAGCAGACCCAAAAAAACAGCAACAACAGAGAAATTAGCAAACCAGCAACAACAACAACAACAACAACAGCAACAGTCAAAAAGCAGAAATGTTCCAATCCATAAAACAAAAACTCAATACAAAAATACGTATGATATTTATATTCTTTTTTACTTACACGTATAATCAAGAAGAAATGGAAAAGAACTCAAATCGGTTAAATTGGAGGGGCTCCGCCTTTAGGTTTAATTTATTGCACAAACAGTGACACTATAACCACACACAGACACACGTACACACACACACAGCAGTCAAAGGAACAAAAAAAAAAAAACAAAAGTCAATATCAGCATAAGTATGATAACTAAGCGTACTTAAATAAATTACATAATTATAAAGAAACAAAAACAAAAAGCAAAACAGAAAATCAAACATAAATTTCTACTCATAGTTTAGCAATCGTAATTAATTTATTTTTTGCAATTAACTAAGCAAATGGACACAAAGCAATTCGCATATAGGACATTACTTACATAGTTCCCAAGCCGACTAACTAATTAACTAACTACAAAAAAAAATAGACATTTCGCCAGCCAACAATAACAACAACTACACAACAGCAAAGCAGCAATAACAAGAAGATGAACAACAACAACCAAATGCCGTTCAATTAACAACAATAACAACCGCTAAGAACTAGAACTAGAACTAATTAGACGCCAATCAGTTATCAATTATCTAACCTATGATTTAACAACAACTTACACTATACAACAAAACCCATGCCCAGCAAACAAAACCAATATCTCGACACTGAACATTTTAAATTAAAACCAAAAAAAAAAACACAAGAAACATCATTTTAAAGCATACTTTTAACGGGTATACACGTAATATTGTAGAACTATTATATATGTGCCGAATTTGAATTCCGCGGCAATTTTAACTACTTTCATATAGCATACTTGTTGACGCATAATTCAAAAAGCAAATACTTCGAAAAATCAATGAGTATTTACGATATAACGGAATCTAAAATGTGGGATTCAATTTTCACCAGCATAACAGCGCACAATTTCGATGGAAGGAGCTTTTCGGCAACATGCTCATGTGGTATCGCATTAGATGAACCTCTTCTAGGAAACAGTTTCGAGCAAGAATATTTCGGCTTAGACAGTAACAGAAGACAAGAATAAAGCAAGACGACTTTCGGCGGCAATGCAGAAATGCAAAAAAATGTTCCCTTGGAACAAAACTCTCGGCATAGACTTTGGCGTATATTTCGGAACAACAGAAGACGCAAAAATACTCTAAAATGACAAATGACAAAATACGCGCTGCAAGTGTTTCGACCGCCTGCCAAATACGGGTTTTCCAAGCCAAAAAAAAAATACAAGAATTCAGTGTTAGGTATAAGTGTAAAATTATAAATATAAAAATATTTCGGTAATGTTCCTATATATACATACCTATATATGTATGTATGCATATATATGTATATATAACAAGGTAATACAAAAATAAACAATTTTGGACACACGAAAATTCAGCATTTAGCATTTTGGAATATCAAAATAAAAATGTCTAGCAAACACAACTAAAAAATGGGTGACAAGAGAGCACTCGTATTTGGCAAGCGTTGGCAACACTGGCAAACAATGATAAAAAGAATAAATAAAATAGTTTACAGGCAGCATTTTAATTAAGCAAAAGAATTGTTAGTTTACGATAATAATTATGTTTCACGATTATTTCTCTTATAACTTAAACGAAATAAAATTTGTACTTTTCAACGACAACAACAACAACAACAATGAATAACGCGTTAAAACCCCAAAATGATGATGACAAAAAAAAAAAACAAAAAATGGTATTATAAAAAGAAACGAACAAAATTGTAAACTCTCGGCCATGTTTGGATAATTCTCTCTCGGTGTAAAGTTCAGGACAACAAATTTACAAAAAAAACAAAACAAAAAACTAAAACAAAAATAAAAATTCTTTAGACTTTAGGCAAAAATGGGAAAAAAAAGAACTCGAAATCCAAAAATTATATGCAAAATTACAAAATTTTGGAAAACAAAATTTCGTAAAGCAAAATTTTAATCGTAAGTGAACTAGCAGACGGAGTCAAAAAAATGGGAAACACGTGAACATGCAGGATTCACACTCTGCTCAAGGCTAAAAACAAACAACAAAAAATTGATATCAATTTTGAAAACGTGTTGGAAAAATATCAAGAAAAAAGTACAAGCTTATTTTAAGCACCTTCGCGCCTTATCTTTAAGAACATAAATAAAAAAAAGCAAACGCAACCTTAACGACATAAACTTATATTTAAATACATTTAAAAAAAAAAAAAGGAAACAAAAAAGAAAACAAAAAACTGTGTAAATTTTATATAACAAACAAGAAAACGCAACTTTCGATACATCTCCTGGTAGTTATTGCATGAATTAATTTAAGTCTGATATCAAAAAATGCATAAAAGCAAATTCTTATTTCTGTTTCAAGCCCATTTTGATTTTGTGGAAAATCTGCCTTAAATTATATAAAAACAAGACAAGTCAAACAATTCACGGCCAAAGCAGATTTGGGCATGAACTGCCCAAACATGTTTTTGAGCATGACAGGAACAGCAACAAAATTGAAAAACTACAAAATACAACAAAAAATAATAATTAAAGAAAGCAGCAAAATTCAAAATCGTCGTCAAAAGACGTTGCAGATTTCAAAATTCAAAAATGCACAAAAATTCAACAAAATTACGAACTGAACAACTTACGGTTTGAAGCTCTAAAGAACAGCAGCAAAATAATTGCAAAACAAACCCCAGAACCACAAAAACAGGAAAGGTTTTCTCTACTTTATTATGCCCAAATAAAACAAAACCAAAAATAAAAAACAAAAAAAAACAAAAAACAAATAGAAAATCAATCATAAAAAGAAAATGCTTAAGATTTTTCGTTATTGAACCCTTTGTAAATGTTTAGGTGTATAAAGAACATTAAAAAAAAAAAATGAAAACATGGACAGTACTTAAGTTAGATGTTGGTGAGGCAAAAATTAATATAAAAGAAATTAAGAAGTGTATGTAAAAATTGTAGACAGGAAAATTATAAAATCTTAAAATCGAAATTCAGTCCCTAATAATTAGTTCTAATCATGTATATCCACTAAACATATGTAATATATATATCAATGAATATATAAAAATGTGTACCCGACTCTCGCTATTTTGTGTTGACTAACTTTGCGATTAACTAAGATTTGCGCTCAATTTCCCTGTACAATTTATAGATCGTTTCGACAAACCGGTTTTTAGTTGGTATCGATTTTTCATCGGCAATTTTCTTAGTTATTTCGGTTACAGCATGGCAATACCAATTTAAAACAAATGAGTCTGATATTTTAGTCACCTTTTTCCACAATCCAATGCAAAATAAAAGAGACAACAATCAGAGAAAATGTTTTTTGAACCAGGCCAAAGCGTTGGCAGTTCTCAAGCCTGAAATAAAACCAAACTGCATGGCAGTAGCCCGACCAGGAACCGAAGGAGTTTGGACTGCATGCATGTTCTGGATCCATCCAAGACCGTTTTGCAACAATAGCACTGAAGGCAATACAAATTCAAATATAAATGGTTTACCATACAGGCAACAGAAAGTATATATATGCACACACATATATATATAGAGTAGATGCAGATGCAGAAGCAGAGCAAAAGACAAGGTAAAGACAAGTTTCGAATCTAGGAATTTCGGCAACATTTCGAACAAGAATCTTTCGGCGAGTTTCGAACAACTTTCGATTACTTACGCTTTTGTTGTTAATTTGTTAATTTGCTACTACGTCTCCACGCACACCACGCACCAAGCACAAAAAGAACAACAACAGAAACCAAAGTGATAAACGAGTAAAGCAAAAGTTAAACGCAATTTTTGATATGGGGCCACAACGTCCGATCTAAAGTGCCTTCATGTAACAAAAAAAGTAAAAACCAAAAACAAAAAAAAATCTGTTAATTTTTTATGTAACTAAAAAGGAACGAATGAAAAAAAAAACAAATGAAATTATTAATAAAATTGTATAAAAATTAAAAATTGTAAAAAGATATAACAAATTTAAAAAAAACTAAGCAACAAAATATGAAAAAGGGCTCCAAATAGACCAGCATTCAAGCAAATACCAAAACTGCTCAACATATTTGGCCTGGCCACACTGTCTCTCAGTATTACGATCACCCACGAGTATTCTAAGTTCGACAACAAAATTTGATCAAGGATAATAAAGCGCAAATCTTAAGTTACCCCGAAACCCAGCTAGCAAAGTTGTCCATTCACTACCTAATTAAGCGATATACATACATAAACATATATTTAGTTATAGTTTGTAACGGAAATGAAATCACACGAAAAAGTCAACATTATGTATGAAATAAATGATTTAGAATTTAGAAACGAAAAGGTTTGGATATACATTGACTACTTACAAAGCATATACCTACCATATAGCGATGAGTTGCTCATTAATGAATGTATTACTTTCTATCGCACGCGTACACACACACACACACACATACGCGCACACACAATACACTATACTACATTTAGTTTAGATCTTAGGTGGAAATAAAATACACACATATTAAAATCGAAAATTAAGCTAAACGATTGCAAGAGTACTAAGAACGGCATACTTAAGAGGCGGCAATAAGCTATAATGCAACTAAATTTAAGCTTAACTCAACTACCGATACGAGAAAACAAAAACAAAAAAAGGAAAAAAAACAAAAAAAAAAAAAAGAAATATGATAAACATTAAAAAACAAAAATGGAAAAATTGAATATTTGCATGTGCATACGAATATAGGAGATAGAGGCTAGCAATGAGAAGCAAGCAGTTCACAAGGAACGGAGACGTATACAAAACTAAAAGACTAAAAGAAAACCGAGTAAATACGAATGTCCCTTTTGTGCTTCTTTCCCCCACTTCACAACTCACACACACTCACACGCACACACACACACACACACACACACACACACACACACACAAAGAAAAGTAACAAATATTTGTATTATTCAGTTTAGAATATTGAGTTGTGAGTTTAACGTACTTCGAAACATTTTGAAGAAAACCAACTAGCAAAAATTAGCAAAATTTAAAATTTACATTTTACGAACATTAAATTTAATTTATGAATATGCATTCATTTAAAGGTGTTTAGACGCACACCCTATGTATATAAGTATGTATGAATATTCATTTATCGATTATGGATTACGAATTACGATTTACCATTTACCATTTACGATTTACGATTTACGATTTACGATTTCGGAGTTGAACACAAATACAAAAAAAAAAAAACATCCAATTATTCTTTTCATCAACATATGTATGCATACATATAAGGATCGAATGCAGGAACAGGAGTAAATGTGCAAGGGTTTTGCTTAGAACCTTTTAAATGTATTTAACCATTTCGGCAACATTACGACATACAAATTTATAATCTTTGGGCCATATTAAGAAGCATCATTTTCGATTGACTGATGCGAAAGTGTAAAATTAACTTAATTCCAGAGCCAAGTCAAAAGAACCGAACAACAAAAATCAATTTTGTTTTCATTTTAGCAAAAATAAATTAAAGAAAACAAAAACAAAAAATATTTAGTTATACAACAATAGACCGGAATTATTTCCAAGAAATAGTACAAACAACTTTAGAAATAACTTTTATAATATAATTATAAAATAAGCGGCAATTGCAGCACTCTAAAAATATGCTAGATAAACAAAGTTCTGAGGGCTTCAAAAAAATAACCAGATGACCAAGCTGAAAGCGGAAAGCATATAAAATTTTCGAATATGAAATTGGCAGATTTAGAGCGCTGTTAAAAAACCATAAATACCAAGTCCCTCAAAAGCATATACGATTTTTGTTTATTTCATTTTAACTTAAGCACACATTTAGTTGAATGTATTATGATAACTAAGCGAAATTGAAAGCCTAAAAAACAACAGAGCCTGGCACTAATCATATTTTCGAAATTCCTTCTTGACAGAATTCAAGATACAATTATATTGTATTCATTTTTATATGCAGAACATCATTTCAAATGAATTACCCTCTTCAAGTAATAACAACTAAATTAACATACATACATATGTAAAACTTTCCTTTCAACACAACGTGGAAAGAAAGATAGCAGTGAGAGATCTGAAAAAAGAAGGCAGACAATTTAAATTATAAGTATATGTAATAACAATAGATGAGCATAACATTTTATGCGACCCTACCCCAAAGAGCAGAACACACACACAATACTATTTACCACAATAAACATATAAACATATATGAATGTAATACGCAAGATGAAGCATACACAAATCGAAAGTTTCAAAATCCACGATGACTGCG